CAGGAGTTGGTATTGGGACCAGCGCTGTTTAACATCTTTGTTGGTGACATGGGCAGTGGAATCGAGTGCATCCTCAGCAAGTTTGCTGACAACACCAAGCTGTGTGGTGGGTCAACACACTGGAAAGAAGGGATGCCATCCAGAGGGACCTGGAGAGACTTGAGAGGTGGGCGTGTGCAAACTGCATCAAGTTCAACAAGACCAAGTGCAAGGCCCTGCATGTGGGTCGGGGCAATCCCAAGCACAACTACAGGCTGGGCGGAGAATGGACTGAGAGCTGCCCTGAGGAGGACTTGGGGATGTTGGTTGATGAGAAGGTCAACATGAGTCGGCAAAGCACACTTGCAGCCCAGAAAGCCAACCGTACCCTGGGCTGTGTCAAAAGAAGCGTGACCAGCAGGTCAAGTGAGGTGATTTTCCCCTCTACTCTGCTCTCGTGAGACCCCACCTGGAGTACCACGTCCAGCTCTGGGGGCCCCAGTACAAGACAGACATGGGCCTGTTGGAGTGAGTCCAGAGGAGGGCCATGAAGATGATCAGAGGGATGGAGCACCTCTCCTACAAAGACAGGCTGAGGAAGTTGGGGTTGTTCAGCCTGAAGAAGAGAAGGCTCCGGGGAGACCTTACAGCAGCTTCCACTCCCTAAAGGGGCCTACAAGAAATCCAGAGAGGGACTGTTTAGAAGGGCATGGAGTGACAGGACATGGGGAAATAGCCTTAAGCTGAAGGAGGGGAAATTTAGATTAGATATTAGGAAGAAATTCTTCTCTGTGAGGATGGTGAGGCACTGGAACAGGTTGCCCAGCAAAGCTGTGGATGCCCTGTCCCTGGAAGTGTTCAAGGCCAGGTTGGACAGGGCTTTGGGCAACCTGCTCCAGTGGAGGGTGTCCCTGCCCATGGCAGGGGGATGGAACTAGATGAGCTTTAAGGTCCCTTCCAACCCAAACAATTCTATAATGATTTCAAGATTCAGCTGGTTACACCTGTGATATGGCCAAGATGAGAGGTCTATTTGAATAAAATTTTATCATAGGATAAAGATGGGGAGAGAAACATTTATTGTATGGAAGTGTACCTTAATTGTGCAGTTTTAACTATAAAACATAGTGAAACTGACTTCATAAAGGACCTCTCAAAAGCACAAGTCATAGTTCCTCCTATCTGAAACTAGAATGTTCTTAATTATCACTTTTGAAATGTACTATCAACAAAGCAAAATGAGATTTAATTTGATATGTTCACTTTGGTAGCTGTATACAACCCATTTTAATTATGATCTTGCATATATTCATAGTATGCAATAAATTTGTGGTTCTACTTAAGCTATGATTGTCTACAATTAAAACTGTGAGGAGATAGAAAAAAGAGCATGTGTGAATGCAAGAAAAATGTATTGATTCACTGATTTGATATAAGATTTGGTTAGATTCAGACATTAGCACTGTTACGGCTGACTACTTAAACTTTATTAATGACTACTCAGTGCCATGTCCTCACTTCTCTTAAGGAAATCAAGAGTACATTTACAGAAAAACCTCTTTTTCAACTTAAGTTGACAAAGGCAAGGATACATACAAAAATTTGTTATACTGTCCAATAGTTCAAAATGTAGCCTCTTGCTTCCAAGAAATCTTGAGCATAAGCTTTTCCTTTTTTTTTTATTTATGCTCTTAGAGATTGCTAAAAATAGCTAAAGACTTCAAAATCTCTTCTGAAGAAAATCCACTCTGCTAACAGTAATGCATCAGTCCCTGGAATTAAGAAAGCAAAAATAAAGCCAATGGCTGCTTATACAAGTATATCAAAAACCCCACACCCTCATTTTCAGTTTTGCCTATCTTATCATTATTACCCTGACTCCTCCAATAACACTGCCCCTCCTCCTCATCTTCCAAAAGGCAGTTGCTGTAGTCGGGGCCACTACATAATGCCACAACTTTGCTCTTTGTTCAACAAATCTAGTTAAAAAATTATTTTGAAGACTTGAGAAGTTTTGTATGTACTTCAAACTCCAGAGTACCGTATGCACAGCAGCTGGCTTGGAACCAAGTGTTCAAAACATGTTTTTATACGATCATAAAAATGTAAATGCACTACAACAGTTGATGTCCCACAAAAGCTGCTCAGCATCAGGATGCAAGGACTACTCAACTCAGAGAAGGTATGTTCTGTTAAGTGTCACACCTCGGTGACTGCTGCTGTTCTCCTACTCCTTCTAGTTCCGATTATTAAAAAACTACAGTATATATAAACCCCAAGCATTAGCTTTTCCTTTCATAGTATGATTACATGATGCCTTTTCAGTGCTTGCCATGCCTATACACGTGTTTAGAGCTTACTCTAACCATTTGAGCTTTGAGTTGCAATAGAAACAAACCAGAAGATGACTTAATTCTGGCATAGCTTCACTCAAATTAGCTTGAGTTAAAAAAAAAAAATCAATTCATTAGCTTGGCACTTGAGCCATGAACACCAAAGTGAGACAACTTAGATTTTTCAATTATTTTTTTTCCCGTTTCTGCCTATCCACAGCACCCAAAGAGATCAGCAAAGGGGAACAGTCACAGGACAAGGATACTGACTACTTTTTATACTAATGTGCTATTCTCTAAAAGAAAAAAAAAACCTTGAACATATTTTGGCTAGGCACTTCCAAAATATATCAGTAGTTGATGCACAGTTAAATGCTTTAAAGTTTTTGCTAGAGAGTCCATGGTTAATAATGCAGAACAGTATGTTCTTAAGAGGTCAAACAGAAAAAGTTAGTTTACAAAACAAGAACAACAATTTTGGTCAATCTGAAACTACTCAGGAATGTTAGCAGAACAGAAAAGGGATTCTGCCTTCCTTGTGACCTACATTAACAAGTTTTCATTTTAATCCAGAATCAAGCCATGTCTGTACTAGGACTTTTTTTTTTTTTCCTTTTTTTTAAACAGCAACATTAACTGGCAGTTGTTTGTTACCATGGTTTTTAGAGGCATATTCTCTTTAATCTAGATCAAGTTTAAGCTTCTCCAGGAATGCACGTGAGCACCCTTGTGGCATCCTAATTCTTTGTCCACAGAAGCTGCTTAAATTCCTGATACATGAAGTCTACACACTCAACATTTTGTTACACTCAGAATACAGCACATCAATAAAGACACGGGGCTTCTGAAGAACAGTCTAGCAGGTGCTCCATAGCAGGAGAAAGTGTAAGCAAAACTTCCAGTTTTAGGCAAAGGTCTAGTCTCTTTACTTCCAAAAAAAATATTTATGCTTTTATTTCTTCCAAATTTCACTCTCAAACATGCCTTTCAAACTCAAGAAAATACTAAATGTTGGAGTAAAAAGTCAGAAAGCTGTGAAGAACCACTTATTTAAAAGATTCAAATTCTACAACTAAACCAGCTCCTTTCCTAATACAACTTCTGATTAAAAAAGAATTCCAAGAGGAAGATGAGTTATAAATTTAGAATTGAGGTCCAAAAATTATTATGCAGCTTTTCTGTCAGCTTCTGGAAAGAATCTCTATTCCGAAATATGAGCAAACACCTCTTCTAGGAGTACCCCTCCAGTAGTACCCCTCCATTTAGATTTGTTGCAAGATTAGACATACCTTTTTGTACAGGTGCACAACAAACACCTTTATTTAGTCCAACAAACAGGAGAGCTGACTACTGATTTTTTTACTATATAATAAATATCTTGCATTATTCAATGGAATCAAAGAAAAAACTGTTAAGCAGGTTCACTTTGCTACCTCCAGTTAGCAAACAAACCTGCAATGGATGTGTTTTTAAAAACAGATTTACAAGCTCCTCTCAAGCTCAGGGTCAATATTTAGAATCAATGGCCATGATTAATATCTTGACAGGAAACAGGAATTCTGAAATGTTTACAAGCATTTCTGTCATGCTTCCATCCCAAAACACCTTTGGCTGTCAATATTTTCATTTTTATCCATCTTCCCTAATGCAGATTGTGTTATGACATGTGTGTTTCAATACTGAAGGATAAGATATCTTAAAGTAAGAACACAGCTGGAAGACACTATCTTAAAAAAAAAGGTAATTTTATTCTACTAATAAATGCACTAACACTGAGGAAGTTCTCAAATTTGAAACTGCTTCAACTGAGAATCAGGAAAAAGAACGGTCATCTCATAAGAATATTTAATCTCTAAAGAAACTGTACACAAAGCCAATTAAGATGTTCAATGTGTCAGTTACCACTAAGTAACTGATAGTACATTTAAAGCTTAAAACATTAAATTAATAAGAAAACACATCTGAACAACAACAGCTAAACCAGTATTCACTAATGATGAAACGAAAAGTAA